AAAAAAAAACACTGTTAAGAGAATGAAAAGACAGCATATGGCCTGGGAGAAAATATTCGCAAATTGTATTTCTGGTAAAGGACTTGTATCTAGAATATACAAAGAATGTGAAAAACTCGGTAATAAGAAAACAAACTACCTGATTTTTAAAAATCAATTGTCATTTCATATACAAAGAGTAAACAATTAGAAAATGAAGTATAAACATATGATTGTCTTTACAATAGCATAAGAATATTAAATATCTAGGAATAAATCTAACAAAAAATGTCCAAGAACTCTATACAGAAAACAATAAAACTAATTAATAAAACTAAACAATAAAAATAATTATAGATAGAAACTAAAGAAACCTAAAAATGGAGAGATATGGCATGTCAGTTTTCTCCAAATTGGTCATAGATTTATTGTAACCCCAATCAAATCCCAGTATATCATGTGCGTGTGGAAACTCACAAAATGAGTCTAAAATTTAAACAGAGAAGGAAATTGTGAAGAATTGCAAAGTCACTTCTGGAGAATAAGTCAGAAGGATTTATGCTTCCAGATATGAAGATTTTTATAAAGCTAAGGCAATTAAGACATGATGATGTCAGTACAAAAATAGACAACTAGACCCATGAACAACTAGACAAAGCCTAGAAAACGACCCAAGCAATGTAGATTTAGGACCATAATTTATCACCAAGGTGGAAATAGAGAAGAGTACAGAAAAAATAGTCTTTTCATAAGTAATCATGGGACAATTAGATCTCCTTACAGAGAAAAAAAAGAAATGACTCATCTACTTCACACTACACAGAAAGCAATTACAGGTGCCTGAAGATCTAAATGTGAAAGATAAAACATTAAAATTTGTAAATGATAAAAAAAATAGTAAATATTTTAATGACATCAAGATAAAGACTTCTTTAAAAGGATACAAATAGCACCAACCATAAGGAAAATAATTCATAAGCGTTCTGCATTAAAATTAAGATCTTCTGTCCATCCCACTCCAAGACACCATTAAGAGAATGAGAAGGCAGATGCTGACTGGGAGTGAGGGTTTGTAGCACCTTGTGGCCCAGCGCATTTTTCAAAGATGGCCTTAACAAGATCTCCCATCCCACGTGCTCTTCTGCAGTGTGACCTTGCCTCCGGCTATCCAAGAGCTAGAGAGCATGCCCCCTGGGCAGGCTGTGACTACTTCTTTGAGATCCTATAGCTTCCACCTGGTTCTCTTGAGATGCTCACTCTGGGGAAGCCAGCTCAACTACCCAGAGACTGCCATGCTGGAAAGGCCATGAATGGGTACGCCAGTCGACAGCCCCAGCTGAGCTCCCAGACCACAGCCAGCATCAACTGCCAGCCATCCATTCCAAGTGCACAAGAGACCCTAGGAGAGAATTACCAAGCCAACCCTCTCCAATCCCTGACTCTCAAAAGCATGAAAATGGTTGCTGTTTTACGCCACTACATTTTGGAGTAATTTGTTACACAGCAATAATAACCAGAACTGGCTAAGGACTCATATCCAGAATATATAAAGAACTCCTACAAATCAATGAGAAAAAGACAATGGCTGGTAGTAAAGAGCAAAAGACTTGAAATCCATATGGCCAATAGTAAAAATGTGCTCAACCTCAACAGTAATTAGGGGAAAGCTAATGAAAAGCATAACGAGACGCCACTACAAGCCAACCAAAATGGCTAAATTTAAAAAATCAAAACTGACAACACTGTGTCAGTGAGGATGTGGAGCACAGGGAACTAGTTACACTGCTATGGAGTGCAAAATGGTACAAATAATGAAAAAATAGTTAACACTGTCTACAACGTTGAAGATACACATTCTACGACCTAGCAATTTCACTCCTAGACACATACCCTAGAGAACAGGGCACAGGTACACCAAGAAACATACAAGAGTGTTGGTAGCAGCAAAAGTTGGAAAGTGGTAACAAACTTCCATCAACAGTAGATGGACACAGACACTGTGGTGTGTCACACAGTGGAAGACTACACAGTGACACGGGTGAAGTCTAGGTCATCACAGCCGTGCAGACGAATCTCACAAAAGAGGCTGAGCGAAGGAATATATATGGGATGAATCCATTTAAATAAAGTTAAAAAACAAGCAAAACATATACTTGGGTAATAAAATGATAAAGAAAAGCAGGGAAATGATAAAGCCAGGATTTTGGGCTTAGGGAGGGGTTTGGGAAGGTAAAGGGGGTGCTTCTGGAAAGCTAGTGCCATTCTATGCCTTGATCTTAGGAATGAAAACACAGATGTTTGCGTTAAATTTTACATTTATAATACATTGATATATACTCTCCATTACAACTTTCCACTGCATACAATAATTTTTTTTATTTTGAAACAAAAAAATTGTAAGAAAACCAATATATGGTTGAGAAAAAAATCTAACTTTATTTATTATTTGGTTGCCTGGTTTTCCCAACATCATTTATTCAATCATCCAAACTATCCCCACCTATTTGTGATTCCAACTTAATAATATATTCAGTTCTGAGCTGCGCTTGAGAGTTGTAGTGGTTGTTATTAACAATGGTTTTTGGCAAGAGTGAATGGACTTTTTCGGGGGGGGGGGGCGGAGTGGAGTAGAATAAGAGCAGGCGAGGAAGACCGTCACCGTCACGGGATTTATTTTTAAATAGGAAAATTCTAGAGACAGAACTGAAAAGAGAAAGGAAGTCTGTGAGGATTGCCAAGTCAGAGTGAAGTGTCACCTGATAAAAGGACTCAAGAATGAGCTCAACGCAAAACTATTTGGTGAGGATGTGAAGAGGAGGCCATGCCTGCAGGGTGGAGGGCGGCTGTATGGGCGCTCGCTCCACGGCACAGCCTCCATCCACACCACGTAGGTGGTGAGATAAAGTTTGCTGAACGTTCTCAAAGATTTGACGCAGTGCAATTTTTAAGTTATATTTGTTGCTTTTCTCCCCCTTAATTTAAATGTAGTATTTATTGACTCTAAGAAATTACAGAAAAATACGTGCTGCCATATTTTGTCCAATCGACCACGGAGTTCATTCCCTTTTTAGCGCACCAAGAAGGACTGGTGCGTTACCTGCGTTCTGCGCGGCCCCGGAGCCGCCCCAGGGGGCTCAAGAGCGGCCGATGCCTCCCAGGCTGGGCCGGCCTCCTCGCCTCGGCTCTGTCCTCTAGGCTGCAGCTCCCTCGGCCGGGGGCGGGACGGAGAGGTGCGAGGGGCGGTCCGAGGTACCTGGCCCCGCCCCTGGAGCCCCGCCCGCAGCCCCGCCCCGCCCTCGCCGAGCACCCGCACTCGGAGCCCGGAGTGGCGCCGCGAAGGTCGGATCCGCGCGCAGCGGCCGGAGATGCAGCGGGGCGCCGCGCTGTGCCTGCGCCTGTGGCTCTGCCTCGGACTGCTCGACGGCGAGCGAGGTGAGCCCGCCGCCCGCCCGCTGCGGGGCTGGCCGCGAGGGGGCACGCACTCCCGGGGCGAGTGGTGGGACCGCTCCGACGGGGGACGGGTTGGGTACAGGGCCGCCGGGAGCGTGAGGCACCAGGGGAGGCAGGACCGGATGCCAGGGGCACAGACACCGGGCGGAGCACGCCAGGTCGGGCCCGCGAGGATGAGGCCAGGGCGGCGGGGCTGCAGCCGGGTCGGGGACGGCGCGACCGTGCTGCACCGCAGCGCAGGGGAGGTGCTCGAGATCCACGACCTCGCCATCTCTGTGGCTCTGCTCCCTTAGAGCCAGGCCCGGCGCCCTGCATCCTCAGCCTGGATCCTTAGCTTCCGCACTTGCTTCCCCGCGGAGTCCCGCGCCGCACCGCGCCGCCCCAGAACCCGCGCGCATCGGGGACCGTCCCGGGCGGCGAGGCGGCAGTCCCCGCAGGGCCCAGACCTGGTGCGCACTTCCCGAGGCCTCCCGTCTGCGCTCGAGGTCGGTCCCCCAGAGGGCGCTCCGGGCGGGCGTCCACCTTCCCCAAGCCAGGAACTGAGGGGCAGGGGTTCGGGGACCGCCAGAGAGACGAGCCCGTGGACAGATTGGGCGCAGGTGCTTGTTGGAACTTGAGGCGAATCTTGAGTCGGCAACTCATGACCGATCAACGTGGCAGAAGAGGCAGAAGGATTGCGCTCCCCGTATTTGAGGGGGCAGGAGGCTTGAAGGCCAAGCTGAGGAGTCTGGACCATAAGGCGGGGGCCGCCACGGAAGAGTCTTAAGCACAGGAGAGGCAGGGTCCAGTTTTTGATGGGAATGTGACCTGTGGTTGCCGCCGCTGTAGAGCTGGAGAGAAGAGAGTGTGCGAGATGAGGGAGGGAGCAAAGGGGGTATGGTTGGATGGAGATGTCAGGGATAAAGCGTCACGGGTTGGGCGAGGATGAGCTGGAAGTCCACGTGAGATCTGGTGACCCTGGAAATCAGAGGGTGGAGGGAGGGTCATGGGTCCCCAGTGGTTGAGGAGGAGTGCTGGGAGATCTGAGGGAGAGATGGGGACCTTGTTATTTATGAACACTGCGTGCATTCAGTACTGGCTTTACGTGCTTCATCTCTTAATCCCCACAAAGGAGTGTTAGACCCATTTTACAGATGAGGAAGCTTAGGCCAAGGGCATATGTAACTTCCCCAAGGTCCCCAGGAGGCCAGTAGTAAGGGAAGTGGTCAACCCAGGTCTCTGGGATAACAGAGCTCTGTTCTCTGTGCCTTGACGGGCTGAAGAGCTGAGACAGGGGAGGAAAGAAAGGTGTGGATGGACGTAGGGGAGGAGAGAGGAGGACATCTGTCTGGGCCTCCAAGTTGGGACAGGTCTGAGTGGAGGGGCTGCCCCTTGGCCCTTCCTTGCTCTCTTGCACCCAGCCCAGGGCCGGGCTCTCACAGGTGCAGTGTGTGTTTGTTGAGTGACTAAATGAGTGTGGGGAGAGAAATGAATGGGGCCCTAGTTGAAGGAGACATCCAGCAGGCAGCTGGGTGTAGTGTCTTAGACTCAAGAGAGAGGCTGGGCTGGGAAGCTGGAGAGGGAGCAGAGCAAAAGGTGCAGGATGGAACCCCCTGGCCCCAGGGAGGGGGCCAGAGAAGGAGAGGCTTCCAGGGAGATGGGGAACATTCTGCAGGGTGTAAGGAGAGCCAGGAGAGGCTGGTGTCCTGGTGCTCCCAGGTGGAGCAGAGTGGGAGGTGGAGGAGGAAAGGGGGGTGAGGCCAGTCCTGTGGTGAGTGCAGGTGATTCTTATCAAAGCCAGGCAGCAGAGGGGAGGAGAGAGGATGTGGGCTGAAGGGGCCTGTGGCCAGGGGTGGCCCAGGCTGGACCAGGGCATGGTTCATGGGGAGATGCCTGGGAGAGAAGACCACAGCCACCCTCCCTGAGCCCTCCATTTGCCCCACCCACTGCTGGGCTGAGGGGGATGGAGGAGCCCCCAGCCTGACGGGGGCTGCCAGAGCAGAAGCATGAACACTTCAGAGCAGTCAAGTGTCAGCGCGGCCAGGCTGGCGGTCAGGCGCTGGCAGGAGAGAAGGCTGGGATCCCTGAAGCTGACCCCTCAAAGTGTGTGCTGTCTGTGCCGGAACCAGACTCTTGTCCCGATTCACCTGGGCCTGTCTCTTCCTCCCCCACACCTCAGTTTCCCCATGCGTAGCAGTGCAACAGGCAGGCAAGCGCTGAGGGGCTGTGCTTGGGCTGGACTTCATGGCTCCGTGTCCCAGTCCATGTCCCAAAACCTTGCCCTGGCAGCGTCCCTGTAGAGAGGGCGGGTGACAGAGGTCAGCCGCAAGAGGCTCAGGGACATGCAAGGGAAGCAGGTGACTGCTGGGCAGCTGGGCTGGCCTGGCCTGAGGACGCTGGCCCCTGCCGTGGGCTGAGTCACATATGGCCGTCCCAGCTCCCACCGTCCCTGCTTCTCAGCCCTGAGCCAGACCCAGGTGTGGACAGAGAAGTGGCGCGGGGCAGGGACGCAGGCCAGTTCAGGCAGGATGTGGGGGTTGGGCCCACCTTACTGGGTGCCTGTAGACCACTGGCCCCAGCTCAGGGCTCTGGGGACTCAAACACAGTGCTGTTCACACACCCACCACTCCAGAGGCGGGGAGTCAGTGTGCCTGAAGGGCTCTCTGCCTCCCCAGAGCACAGTGCCCACACCACCAGGCACCAGACTGGGCATGAGGTGTAACAAGGGGACTGTCTGGCCAGCTCCCCACTGGGCCATCCCCACCCTGACCCCCAAGCAGCAGCTCCCCAACCCAGGGAAGGGGACTGCAGTCCTGGGCAAGTTGCAAGCCATGATGCCTGCTCAGGGTGGCCCAGGGGGTGGTTGGACCCCGTCCTGGAGGGGTTTCCTGAGTGCCAAGCTAGCAGGGACACACGTGTGGCATCAGACATCTGTAGCCCAGGGACAGAAGTGCTCAGTGACCCCAGTGAGGCCCAGCTGGTGGCTGTGGGCTGCACAGGAAGGTGTTGTTGCTTCCAGCTCAGGGCTTCCTGGAGGAGTCTGCAGACTCCAGGGAAGGGAATTCAAAGTAGGGCAAAGAGGCCCAGAGGCAGGAAAGTTCAAATGGTGTATAGGGCCATGCGGGTGGTCAGATGAGGCTAGAATCTGGGAGGGGTGCGTGGAGTGAGGGGAGACAAGGCAGCCAGAGGTGGCAGGAGCCAGCAGCACACCGGGAGAGGGGAGGTTCTGAGCAGGAGCCACCTGGTCAGGTCCTCTGAAGGCATTGCCAGAGCGGCAAGAGCAGATGGGAGCCCACAGCAAGGAGGCTGTGGGTGAACCCATGAGATACGCCAGGGGAGGAGGCAGTGGTAACTGGGGATGGCGGGAAGAGAGGGACGAGTGCCAGTCTCTGGCTTAAGCAGTGGACTGGATGATGAGATACTGCTTACTAGATGGGGCCCCTGGGAGGAGGAGCAAATGTGGGGAAAGATTGAGGTGCTGCACCAGGGAGGCAGGCCTTCCAGGTGGAGGCATCCAGTGGGATTGCCTGAGAGACCCCAGTTGATGAAACTAGGCCAGAAAAGGCAGGAGGAAAGTTGGGAGCATTTTGAGTGTGATGGGGCAGAGGGGAGTCAGGGAACCCAGGGAAATTAAGTGGAGTCTTAGCCGAGAGGGAAAGTTCTTCTTTATGTCTAGCTTAATCCCTCCTGCTGTCGTTTGGACATTTTCCTCCACGTGGCAGATTTCTCTCCACCGGGGCCTAGCCTGTGCCACACAGCCCTCTGAGATGCCCCTCAGAGAGGGGGGTGGGCATGGAGAGGGGTCCAGAGAGCCTCTCACACTCCCTGCACTAACCACTGAGTGAGACACAGCCGAGGTGTCCCGCTGGAGCCAGGGATTCCTGAGTTTCGATCCTTTTCAGACACTGGCTTCCTCTGGGATCTCGGTTTTCCGGTCATGCCGAAGGAGCAGTCTGGGAGCAGGAAGGTGCGGGCATTCATTGCTAGTGGCTGAGGCTGGGTGGGGCAGACAGCAGGCACGCCCCCGTGCCCAGGCCACCTCCGCCCCCAAGGCCAGGCCAGGGTGTGGGTGGCCCCAGGAGCAGGCACAGGTCAGGGTGGTGAGTGGGGGAGCCCCGCCACGTGGCCAGCGAGGTCAGCAGGGGTTCATGGGAAAGGACTTGTCGCCACAGGAGAGGACATCCTGCCTGCGTCTCCCTCTTCCTGCAGCAGGAGCCCTCGGCCCAGATTTAGCAGCGCTGGGGGCCACCTCTGAGCCAGCTGGGCTGTCTGATAACACCACCCGTCCTGCTGCCGCGGAGCAGAGCCCTGACCCCAGGCAGGCCAGGGCAGCTGCCTGGCACAGCTGGCTGGACCCAAAGCTGCGCTGTGTGGGGAGTCAGCGTCTGCCAGTGCCCTCCTCCCCACCCCACCCCCAGAGGGGACTCAGGCAGCCCTTGTTCCCACGCAGCGTCACCACTGCTCCCTGCTTCCCGAAATTGCCTCCATGCTGCCCCAGCGGGACCTCTCTAAAACACAGATCTGAGCCTCTAGCAGCCTCCCAATGATAAGCACCAGCTTCTTGAGCTGGTGCTACAGGCTCTTCCTGCTGGGGTCCCAAGGGCAGCCCAAGTCCCATGTCTACCTAGCCTGCACCCACCTCACACCCCAGCCTCAGCACATGACCTTCCTCCTGCTCCAGATACGCTCTGCCCTTCACCATGCCCTTGGGGAGGCTGCCAAGAACTGCAGGCAGAGGCTGGTGCAGCTCCAAGTGGGAGGGGTCTCCTAGAATGGGAGGGGGCCTCATTCCCACTTGCCATGTGCCCCAGGAGCACGGAATCCAGGCTTTCAGGTGGGTTGGGGAGAACCTCTTATCCTCACCCAACCTAAAGCACCATCCTCAGAGCTACCCTAAATTCTACCAAACAGAAGCTCGTTTGTATTAAGCAGTGTGTGCACACTCACATGCACACTTGGCACGCGTGGAGCGTCTAGCAGTGAGCCACACCTTGGTGTGAAAT